GCTGCCACTGCCCGCAGCCCCCCCGGGAAACCCCGCTCCCGCCCCGCTGAGACCAGCCTCATCCACACCCTGACTGAGCTTCACACATCTCCTGTCCTGTCCTGCAGCCGCGGGGAAGTCAACGTTTGTCAGGCTGCTGGAGAAACACAGCGATGAGTGGGAGATCATCCCCGAGCCCATCGCCAAGTGGTGCAACATCCAGACAGCGGGAGATGAATGCGAGGTAGGTCTGCTGGGTTTGGGGAGCTGGGGGAGAGAGATGGCTGCAGGAGGAACTGCAGCATCCAGAGTCATCCCTGCTATCACACCAGCTGGTCAGACACCCACAAATTGGCAAGGCTGCTTAGGAAGATATTATTGAATGGATATTCCAAATAACCACCCCTACACCACAGGAATCACATTAAAGTCTGAACTTCTGTGAACAACCTGTTCTAAAGAAGCTGTCATAAAGATTACCATCAGCTAAGAAACATCTTTTTTACTCCTATGCCTAAGCAGTTTTCCTAAAAAAATATATATGTATACAAGGCCATCAATTCTTACTTCAACATACCAGAATTCTGTACAGAGAAAAATGAATAAAGTCCTGCAAGTACACTGCTATTCGGTTTTCTCTCTTGTCCCCTAGGAACTTTCAACATCCCAGAAGAGTGGAGGAAATCTACTTCAAATGCTGTACGATAAACCCACAAGATGGGCTTACACATTTCAGACTTATGCTTGCTTGAGCCGAGTAAGAGCACAATTAAAACCTGTCTCAGCCAAGCTACATGAAGCAGAACACCCAGTGCAATTCTTTGAGAGATCCGTGTACAGTGACAGGTAATTACTCTCAAAACACAACAGGAATCCAAATGAACAGCTCTAGGTCTTCATGCTCAAAGACATGGAGCTGGGGAAACACTCTGTATTAAAGCAGTATCTGCAAGGAGCAGGTTTGATTCAACAGGCAAGAGCTGGGTGATATTAAGGGTACTTTATAGATAGATATCAGAGTAGGCAGCTATTTCTTTAGTATTCTGAGGTTAATGAGAAGTGGTTTAGTAATTCACTTTGGTCATTCCTAGCATGAAACTAAATGTCTTTCATTGCAGATACGTATTTGCTTCTAACCTGTTTGAGTCTGGAAACATTAATGAAACAGAGTGGGCTATTTATCAGGACTGGCACACCTGGCTTTTGAATCAGTTTGAATCAGATATAGAACTGGATGGCATAATCTACCTAAGAACCACACCTCAGGTACGTTCACTGAAGATTAAAATATTTCAGCTCCAACTTCAGTTTCCAGGAGCTTAGGAGGGTACAAGAACATTCATGGCATAGTAAGAACTACTGACATTTAGCTAAAGTGGCACAAGTCTGGGGGTCTGTTTTTTTAAAAAACAAAGTTATTCTAGAATTAACTAATTTATGTTCAGCCAAGCATTTAAAATTGATGCTTGCTAACGTCTAGCATTAGTCCTTCTGATTTAAGGAGGATCTACTTAGCTGATTTAGCGTTCAGTACACAATTAATGTCCAGGCTTGCACTTTTTCACCCCCCAGAAATGCATGGAAAGACTACAAACGAGGGGAAGAGAAGAAGAACAAGGAATTGAGCTCGAGTATTTGGAAAACCTTCACTATAAACACGAAGCCTGGCTTCATGAAAGGACTATGAGGTATGAACCCATTTTCTGTAGGCAAGTTTCACTTTACAGGCAAGGCTCTTTCCTACCTTATGCCAAAGTTGATTAGGGATAAAATGAAGGTTTAAGTCTAGCTTCACTCAGGCACAGACTTATCTTTAGACCCACTACAGGTTTCTTGGCACAGAGATGATTACTCTAGGTTATACACAGAGGGAAGGTCATCTGTTGGCAGGGAAGTAAAAATTGCCACGAGAAGGAACTTCATCTAATGTAAAAAGCCTTTGCTAAGCATTAGCTTCAACTAGAAACTCTAACTCCAGCAAGGACATGAATTTTGCTAACTGGAAGAAGTACCCAGGAATAGGAGGACAGAGTTGAAGTGGTGTTCAGTAGCTGATGACATAAGCCACCTCTTAAGCAGCTTCCAGTTCCAATGTAATGGAGGGCAAGGTCCCAACTACCTTTAAACTAGGATGACTGTATTTCAACAAGGTTTAAATATTAATCCTAGCTCCAAAATAAACAAAAATCAGGCTTTTTTTTGGCAGGCACTATTACATAGAAGAAACCCAGTCAGCAACTAAGTGATCTAGCTCTGCATACCTTCCCCCCAACTTCCTGACTGGCTCTTACTAGCTTTCCCACCTAAGGGATCTAAAGGTGAAAGCAGACTTTAGATTTTCCTGTAGAGAAGCCTGAAATACTCTCCTGAATGGGAAGCATAAGAATTCTAGGAAGAGTACGTTATCAGTCACATCTGCTTTCCCAAGTTTCACATAGGATGACCAAAATGCTTAGGGGACAAGAAAGCACTTTGTATTTTGGAACATTTACATTGTTTACTCATTCCAAACTTGTGAGCAAGCATTTCCTGTATTTTTCATAGGAACACTTCAGTCTGTGAACACAAGTTACAGTGCCATTCACCACACTTACTGCATTTTTAGAAATGTTTTTCACACCAGCTACTACTTTAAGAGACCAATACAGCCAGTTGCACAACTACTGCTCCCATCTGCTCCTAACTGTAGCCAAAGTTTCTCAGCCATTTTAAATAGCAGCTTTATAACCTGTTAAAGAGCTCATCCCCACTAAAGGAAGCATTAAAACTGCATCTTAGTAAATGGATTAGCAGTTAACGAGAAAGGGGTGTGGGAGACAGAGGGCAAGAACTGTTTGTAAAAAATACTCCCTCTTATCAAAATCACATTCCTGACAGTTTATTCCATAACAACAAGAATGAGGTAAAGGAAATGAAGGTAAGCAGCATAAACTATCTCCCCTCCCAACTTGGGCAATTATAATATATATTAAAAGGCTAGATTTGTGAAATACATTGAAGTTATGGTGATACAACACTGGCTGGGTTATACAAGAGCAATTAAGGACAGACTTGACTTGGGCTTTATACTTAAGTCATGGGCATCAGCATTAATATCTCAGGTGCATGTAGTAATCTGAGTAATGCTGCATCCTTGGGATGACTTGGAAAGCACCTGAAGAGCTAGCTTGTTTTACACAGTACTTTACACCATTTTTACTAGCATTTTCTTCCTTTTTTTTCCTTCCAGAGTTGACTTTGAGAACCTTAAAGAGATTCCCATTCTAGTTTTGGATGTTAATGAAGATTTTAAGAATGATAAGATTAAACAGGAATACCTGATTGATAAGGTAAGTATTAAATAATGATTCCTCATACTTGCTTTTCTTCTGCAGTAATAGCTTTAACTTAACAATTTACATTCTTAACATTTGTGATGAAATGCTTGTTTGGGGCTGGTACAATCAGTCTCCACAGACTGAGGAAGCTACATGGCTGCACAAAAGGCTTTTTGCTTTCCTTAAAATAATTTAACTGCACTTCCCAATTAAAGAGAAAACTGGGTGTTTTAAAGAGGGGCAGTTGCAGGGGATGAGAGTACCCATTAGCTGGAGCAGTCAGACTACTCTCCACCAAGTCTGTTCATTAAATAGTTCACAGAATGATACTGTCCAGCTCACATCAGCCATGATGTCCTTAGAAATAACCTGCAGTCACCTTAGAGCTGTTTAAGCCCCCTCACCTTCTAGGGATCTAGGCTCTTCCTGGACAGAGCACAACACATCTGATAAACAGAGATAAAAACCTTGTATACAGTTCTAAATGCATGAAGTGACACTTCTAAAGCAGAGTTGGGAAGGAGGATAAACAGCCATTTGAGGAAAGAAGGTGGTAATAAATAGGTTACTTGGGTCAAAAATGGTGTTTGTTAATTCCAAGGAAGGACAAGACTCAGGAAGTAAATACCTAAAAAAATTCTTCTGCTGCAGCCATGTGCTGTGTGCCTGGACCACAGCAAAAAACAAACCAAACAAAACAGCCTCCTGATACTTCAAGGCATGAGGCTCATTCCCAGCCCTCCAAGCAGAGCTGTAACATTACATATTTCACTCACTGGGACACTTTAACCAAGATTATTCTTGCAAGATAGAAAGAAGTGCTGTCCTATCAAACCATATACACAGCTTTCTCCATGTTGTTTTGGGTCATCAATTTGAGATTACTGAAGAATGGCTCCTCTAATCAAAACCTGATTTGCCCAATTAAATAGCCCAACATAAACTGGGGAGGGGAGCACAATGTTCAGTTATGGAGGCACTTGTTATTAAGTTATATCCTCATGGAAACCAGCAATTAACAGCTTAGAGTTATGAATTAGACTACACTCCTACATGCCTTTTTTTTTTTAGCTTGCCCCCACTGATACAGTGTTGTCTCCAAACTCCCTTCATCACCTAACATATGAAAAGGTCAGCTCTGCTTTCAGCTTGGGGCAGGGGGGCCAAGCTCCAGGCTGAAACTGCTGCTGGATATTAAGCTTAGTGTTCAACCAATTTCTCTCTTCTGAAGAAAGAGCTACCTAATGAAGGGAAACTTATTTTAGTTTAATGAGGCAACATTCTGTAAAGCATTCCAGAAGCTACCTTTCATAAGTACTTACTGGTTTTGAGTAAGTATGTTACTCAGTGCTACCTAGTAGTAACTTACAAATCTCGGGTTCACAGCCATCTGCTATACTGAAAAGCATTTTGGGTCATGAATTATATGCAGAGGCAGAACTGGAGACTGTGTAATAACAAACTTTTTGTTCTCCAAGAAAGAAAGGGAAAAGCTTAACAATTTAGCTTTAACACATCACATATATCTGCTTTTTGTTTTCACAGGTCAAGTCTTTCCTGACTTCTTAAGAAGATGAAGATTAACTTGAATAACAAGTCTTTGAAGTTCAGGAGTTAAACCTAACAATTATTGTGTTCTTCAACAATTTCCTTTAACTACAACTGTATAGCTTATGAAAGCAAGATTGAAATGCAAAGTATGTTTGCAGGGTTTGTTTTTTTCTTTTGTTGCTTCTCTGACCTGTGTGGGTTTTGATATAATTTTCTATATATTTAAAATTAACAAATAAAGGGTGCTTGGATAATGTACTTTGTGTACATTCTGTATTGTTTAATAAAGGTTTTGAAGTAACACTGACTAGTGACTGGCTTTAACAGAGGAGTTAACCAGTTATCAGCGCCTGACAAGCCGGGCAATAGCGATAGCAGGCGCTGGAGCAGGGTTGTTTTGCAATAACTGGCATCGTTCACCATTTTAAGACGAGACTGTTATGGCGTCCAGAAACCTTTCCTTTCAACTTCTGCTTTATCGAATGGCTCTTTTCCCAGGATTTACGCTACTTAAGGATGGAGGTTACTGTAGTCACAAGAGTTACACCTGCAATAAACTGTAATTTAACCACATCTTGTTTACCACCCACCCCCCCGCGCACCGAGAAAACGAATTCCCCCCCCTACTCCCGCCTC